TTAAGTTAAACTATTGGGAGCAGAACGCTGCAGAGAGCTATACGACATTCTGAAAAACAAATTTGGTTTTAATCATTTTCGACACAGGCAGAAAATGGCTATAGTGGCCTCACTTCTTGGCTATGATTGTTTTATTTTAATGCCAACTGGTGCGTTATTTATTTACCACTTTTAGTTTTAACTTAACTTGCTGTTGCAAACGTATATATTGCTTTCATTCTTTCTTAGGTGCTGGGAAAAGCTTGTGCTATCAGCTTTCTGCAGTATTATCTCCTGGAGTAACAGTAGTTATCTCGCCACTTAGGTCTTTGATTGAAGATCAGAGGATGAAAATGAAACAGTTGGAAGTATTGTTAACCGCGTTTTCTTCAACAAAATTTTTGTCTAACTATATTGAAAAGAGCAAACTGATGCTTGAATGTTTCTTTTTTTTAGATTAATTGTTGCGCCCTTACTTCTGATTTGAGTCAGGCAGAGACAAACCGTATATATGCTCAACTCTCTGAAACAAATATGCAAGTCAAGTTGCTGTATGTGACTCCTGAAAAGGTTTTTTCTTGTTGCTAGTCAGTGTTTATTCTTTATATTCTATTCTTCTAATTTTTCCTCGATACGACCTCCCTTTTAATACTGCAGCACCTTTTAGATATCTGCATCTGAAAGACTTAATTCAGTGTTTCGTTCTTTGCATCGTCGCGGCCTTTTATCGCGATTTGTTATTGACGAAGCGCATTGTGTTTCTCAGTGGGGACATGATTTCAGACCAGATTACATCAAATTGCAAGTGTTAAGGTGGTTTTGTTGATTCAGCTGTGGTTTCTTCAGTTTCTACGTAGAGTTCATTCAGGATTGAAGAATACAGTAGTTTTACAGCGCTGGATAGCTGAGTAATCAGTTAAGGTGCTGCTGGTCTAGAAGTTTTTTTTTACATTTAGAGTACCAGAGTTATGTATATTAGAAGTGTTAGTGCTTTGCAGCCATACAAAATAGTTGAAAAGAAGAGTTTAACTGTTTTGCAGGAATACGTATACAGACCCCTTAGTTCCAATAATGGCATTGACCGCTACAGCAACACCCAAAATTGTGACAGATACAAGGATTAGTCTATCAATGACAAAAAGCAAATTGTGAGGTTTTGTTTTGAATGCTTGGATTATGGGGCTGACAAGCACGATTAAGGTGTTGGTAAATATCAGGCTCTGCCGTCTTGAAAGTTTATCGTAGAAGTGACATCCAGTTTTCGTCCCGCCTAAAACTCGTAGTCTAATTTGCGAAATTATTCCTAAATTTTTGTGATAATTAAGGTATATAGGCAGCTTCAATTCATATTAACTCATACCTGGACTTATCGGTTTATTTTTGTGTAATCATCTTTTGAACATTATTTATTGCTTCTTTCAGTCAGAATAACAGGTAGAACCCTAATAATTGCAAAACTCAGGTTTATCAGCAGCTTTGTTCGAACGAATTTGATGTACACAGTTGTAAAAAATGAACCGAAAATGTTGAAGGAGTTAATAAGACGTGTGAAGTCATGGTACCCTCCCAAATCCGGGATATTCTATTGTTTGTCTAGGTTTTTGTTAAAATACATTGTTTCATAGAAAGTGAAATACTTATCTCACATTTGGGTTATAACGTAATTTGGGCCGCTGTGAGATTATTACCTGCTTCAATCTCCAGATATAATTGTAGTGTAGTTTCTTAAATTGCTTGTAAATTTTTCGACTGATTTTACAATTGGTGCTTTTTCAAGAAAAGATTGTGAGGCGGTCGCAAAGCTTCTAGTTCAGGAAGGCGTTGCTGCGGATGTTTATCATGCTGGACTAACCGATAAAAAGAGGCTTGAAGTTCAAACTAAGTGGATGAACAACGAGATTTATGTGATATGTGCTACAATCGGTTACTATGAACTTTTTATTAATGCTAGTTATAGCGCTCTTATTGAACTTGTTAAGAGTGTCTTATGCTTTCAAAATTATAGTAACTGAAGTGTTTTTTGTAGCTTTTGGCATGGGAATCGACAAACCAGATGTTCGCTTTGTTGTACATACAAGGTGCTGCTATTATCTCATTAATTTTCTAGAAGGATAAATCAAGATTATTTATTAACGTTAAGAAAATTTCCCTCAGTCGAGAATGTGACTATCGACCAAAGCAGTGTTATTACACCTCAATTAGGGAGAGAGAAAACCTTGTTTCTGTAGTAACCAAAAGAGTTTTATTGTTGTTGAACATGTTTATCAGTTCTCATTACTTCTTTAGAAATAATTTTTATTTTTTTCTCACCTAGACCAAACTTTCTCATATATTTATTTAATGAAAGCAGTTTAAAAATATTGAGTTTTTTCAGTATGCCAAAGTCTATTGAAGGTTATTATCAAGAGACTGGTCGTGCAGGAAGGGATGGATTAGATTCTTACTGTTGGCTTATGTACAGTTACAAGGATTCAATTAGACTAAGAAAATTGCTTGACGGTAAAGTTCAAGTTATATTATTCATTGTTCGTAATATTTTCTGATTTAATTAAAATAAATAAAGTTCAACACGGTAGTTTTTATGGCATATTTCATTTTGGTACTTTCATATATGCGATTTCTTTAGCTAAAGTTCATTCTCCAATCCTTTTCTACCGTAAAAAATGAACACTAACTTTAAATTGTAGTATTTAAGGTGAGCACCTTACTGCTGGGGTTTTAAAGATGCATATCACCAGCATTTTGCAAATGCTTGCTTACTGCGAAAACGTTTCGGTTTGCAGAAGAAAGCTTTTAGTGGAACATTTTGGCGAGGTGAGTGTAATAAAAGGTAATCCCAACATCAAGTGGACATGAGTCGTAGATTTTGCAAGGCTGCTAACACAGCGATAACGTCTTTTAATAGATTTTTTAAAACAGGTATATGACGCTGAGGCTTGCCGAACGAGTAGAACTCCATGTGATGTTTGCCTGCAACAGAAAGCAAATAAGGTCCCGACTTGCTCAACTGTTTTACATTCTTTGATACTGGAAGGAACTGTGCACTAAAAAGTCTCTCGACTACTCTTTTAGGATGCGTTCAAAATTTATGATTTCACAGATGAGACCAAAATTGTCCTGCAGTCGATGTTAAAAATGCGGAATGTTACAACAAAGCGTTTAGCAGACCTTTACAGAGGAGATAATACGAAAAAAACCCAGGAAGCGGTACTCCTCAGTTAACTCTCCTTAATAGTCTTGAATTTTATCAAAATTTTTGCGAATTAGTTGTCATGCAGTCAAAAGTTGTTTCATTAGGCTTCAAAATGTGGACGCAGCTGCAGCGCATTGCGGGGTCGCGGCGTCGGCATGACAGAGGCTGATGCTTTACGATTTATGCATAAACTTGTTGTTGAAGAATTTATAGAAGAGAAACTATATCGTCTTGCAAATATCGACACCATAATTTCGTACGTCGAAGTCACGCAAAAAGGCAAGGACTTTGTGAGCGGCAAGTCAAGATGCAGGGTGAATCAATGCATTTTTACAAAATTATACTTTTCAAAGCTATTTATAAAATAATCTTTGTCATTCAAGGTTTTCTTGCACGTTTTCAATAACGAAAGCCGTCTTACAAGGAATCGTGTGGAAGACACGGTGCAGCTACAGATGGCTGCTGTTAGTGAAGCGCAAGCGTTAAAAGAAAAGTATATTTTTACTCATTGCTCAATCTTTTGTATCTTATTGATTCTCGAAGGAAAATTTTTTTTTTCTTCGAAGTGCTTAGAGGGCCCAAACATTTTAAGGTATAAAGTAAAATATGCGGACCTTTTCGAAAGATGCTACAGGGATTGTATGAAGTTGTTTAAAGAAATCGCTCTGGATGAAGGCTTTAATAGTCACCTGGTAATTATATTTAGTCAAGCGTTACTAGCCTTATCAAATACATTATTTTTTGCATTATTTCTGCAGTTCCATCCAGGCAATGTACAGGTGTTATTTTTAACGAACCCCTTCTAATGTTTAGCAGATTATTGGCCTAGAAGGTGTGGAACAGATTGCCGCTGTTATGCCTCGAACGAATTCGGATCTTTTGGAAATAGAAGGTATGACTAAACGGAAGGTGGAACGATATGGACCTAAAATTATGGGTGTACTTAAAAGCTACTGGACGGAAGTTGATTGTAATTTTTTTGATATCTTGGCCAATTGTGGTGGCAGTTTGACTGTTGATCGACAAGATAGTGCTGGAGTAGTTTGCTTGCGTTTGAGCTTAATTTGTCTCGTTAATACGTCCAAAAGTTTTTACAGAAGGCTTAGTTATAACTAGTCTACTATTCCTTTTTATTTAGCGCGAGAACAAATGGAAATAGAGCTGCAGTTGCGGAGAATGAAATCTAACAATGCCTTGGTTGGTACAAATTTTTTACCGTTTGAAAAAACAGATCCCGTGAGCGAAGAAGGCTCAACAGGTTTTTTCTTTTTGCTCCTCCTTGAATTCGAAAACTGATTTTTCAGCACTTTTCGTAACCATTTTTTCCAGATTAGTGGTACTTTATTTCTCTTTTTCAGAACTAAGAAAACTCATTTACAGATGTAATATCAGCACCATTGTCAGTATCTGGTCGTGGAAGATACGCTAGCGCCAAAGCCGGACGTGGCGGCAAATGTTATAAAAGGAAATATACATCTTCACAAACTTCGTAATTGACTTTTGTTATTTCACATTTTTTAGATATCACAAGCATCGTTGTTTTCACTGGTAGTGTCGTAAGCTGTTTAGCAAAACCAACACTAATCTTACTTCATAGGCTTTACTTTCAGATCTAACTCGTCTCGCAGTCACAACTATGCCTATTACAAACGTGGTAGGGGAAGTTTAAGAGGAGGAACGAAAAAAGGCGGGTCATCTCGGGCCAAAAAAACTGCTAATTCTATGCTGTTCCCAAGTTTTTGAAACCGGTTATATTATTTTTTTTTCCTATTACGGGGTTTTAAACTGTTTAGAGATTGTTCTGTATACATGTTGATCCACTGTTACCTTTTTTGATGGAACTATTTGGTTTTATTAGTTGTAAGAGATTAGGACAAAAATTAAAAATCATTTCTCGTTCATTTTAAACTTAGATGCAGTAATTTAAGATATTTCTGCAAATCTGTGATCTCCACCTTTATATACCGATAGTACTGTATAATTAGTTCACTTTATTTTGTAGTTTAGAAAGTTCTTTAATTTGACTCGTCCTTCATTCCATTGAACTCTTTAAAAATACTTGTTTGAATTTCACAAATTTCCAGTCTACTGTGCAGTTTTCACGCATTTTATTTTCTTGACTTGTCAAGTAATAAAATTCCTCACCATGATTAGTGTATAGCATAAAATAAATAATGTTGAAAACGAACCCTGAAAAGAATGAAGCGAGAAGGAAACCTGCCTATCAATTTATAAACAATAAGTCAGGACTTGTGTAATGAAATACGTCCTCTTCCTAAACAGTTTTAGGGCAGTAGGCGTCAGTTTGAGTGAGTACAACTTTGTATTCTCGCTACTACTTAATCCACTGAATATTTTTAGACTTCTCGAGGTTATTTTGTAAGTTTTTCAAGTTTCAGAGGAATAAAACTTGGGTTCTTTTGTTCGAAATTTTATTTACTGGTACTTACTTATACGACTGTAACCTTGAGTACTGTGTTTCTTGGAGCGTTTTGACTAAAGTCTATTGTTTGTAATTTTGAAGAAGTTAAAATTAGAAAATTCCTTTTTTAACACATTCTTTAAACATGCCGTAGCAGGACGCTCAGATTAGTTTAAGAGATTCGGATTAACGAAATTTCCGGCAGAGATTCAAGGATTTCATCAGCGATTGTAAGGTGTTGATTAAGAGGAATAATTTAATTCCATAGTGGGGACTTGACGTTGAGAACAAAAAATTCGAGACATCACTCTTTCACAAAGTTGATGTCGATGTTCCTCGTCGAAAAGAGGAGCATTAAGAACACAATACAGTAAGGCTGGGTGATAAATTTAAACAGACAATACAAGTTTGGAAAAGAAAAGAAAAGACAAAATTTCGTGTTTGCACCACGCAGAACTGAAAAAATGCCGATGCCCAAAGATTAGGATAATGGTAAAGTTTGCTCCGTTTAGGAGGTAACTAAACGTGAGTTGATTAAAAAAAAGGAATTTTGTTGTGTTTTTTTAGATGAGTACAATTGTCTTCCTTTAGAAAATCCGATTGTCTTTCCAAAAGTTGGTTATCATACATCTTCGATTCAATTCATCCTGTTGCTTTTCATTCAGCTGTCTAATTACTCGATCTATCAGCATTTGAAATGCCTTATCAGGTTAGTAAATTTGAGCTTGTTTTCATCCTGTAAGGAGACTTTGTTATTTGCGTACCTGTGTTTTGTATTTATTGGATTTATACAGTTCCTGAATTTGTCCAAGTTAGGTTTAGTACATACTGGTGGTTTTTCGTTGTCATATACTCGTCCTCAATATCGCTTTGCTCAAACTAGCCTCTTATCTCTTCCGTGACTACATTCTATTCTGTCTCTTCCTTTACGAATTCCAATCACTATTCTAAACTTCAAAAAAAAAAAATAAAATAAAATAAAATAAAATTTAATTTTACTATAGAGAAAGACTACATAAGAGTTTTTTAAAGAGACAAGAGAAAGTAGTATAGATACAGTACATCTATAAAAGATTTAATTTATCGAGATAAGTTTAGTTAAACCTAAAATTAACTCAAATTAAGGTTACTGTAAGGATTATAAGTTCCGCTACAGTTGGAATTTCTAATCAGTGGGTTTCATATCCACGGTTAGAAGGTTGTAAAAGCTCGAGAATCTTAACTATTGTGTAAATTAGCAGTAAGAAACGGTTTGGTGAAGCCTGTTAAAGAAATCTGCTCTTAAATAAAGTACTGTTACGGGAGAGAGGTGCCACACCGACAAGAATTAAAAAGACACCGTTGTATTAGACCACCAGGTAGTTTAAAAAGAATGAATAGACTTGTCCGAATCTGCAAAATTCAAAACACTTGAACAAGTCACCAGCAACAGCTCCGTTGCTGAGAAACTATTTTCAGAAAAAAAAAAAATGAGCACGATACAATCATACAATCCACCTGAAAAGAAGAGAAATGGAGTGTTTCGAAGGAATACCAAAGGAACTTTGTGTTCTCAGCCCTGGCGATCTTTGGAAGTATGTATTTTCCGGACCGAAGTTAAGGAATGCCGATTTCATCAGTTGCACAGCAGAGGAATCTGCAGCATCTACTTCCCTCCAATTTTTTAGCAATGGCCAAACGGTAAGACGTCGCGCAACCCTGGTTTTCAACGTGTGTACAAAAACGATAGAATTTCCGGCCAGTTTAGATTTCCCTTAGACAACAATTCCAATGTTGTCATCAGCTTAGGAAATATTCTAACGAAACATTCAAAAAAATCACCCTGCGGCGCAAGGGTCCCTTCGGCGACTGTTTGGCGGCAATGTCATTAAATGATCTTCGGCTCTGTTTAGGACAAAATAGAAAATTTCGAAAGCAGATTTCACCATTTTTGCGAATGTAATTTTGTTTTCGGTTAGTTGTGTAAGGACAGTAAATCACCCTGGTTTCTAAGTTGCCTTATGACGTTTATTCAACGAAAGTACCATTAGTTTTAAATCAAGATATACAGAGTAAAACCATAAGCTTTATAGTTCCTTGGTACCATTGACTGTTAGAGTGCTTGTTTACTAGTTCCTATAGTTTTTATTCCTTGGGCGAGTGCAGCGTGCATTCCCTGCTAAGTTTTTCACTGTTTGTAACAAATGTTTTTTAACGCCTGAACAGTCAAACTATTTTTTTAGAAAATAGTGGATGAATCTTGATCATCTGATCCTGATCAAATGCCATTTCATTCAAGCTGCCACTCACCGTTGCAACTGGCACTCTTGAAAATTAAAATTTTTTTGAATTCGGAAAAGCGCAAACGAATTGGTGCAGTCTACAAGAAGCGAAAACATGCTTTCAAACGATTTTCAAAGAGGGGTTTTCTGAGGGTCAGTTTAATCAGCTTTATACAACCGCAAATTTACAAAACAGTTTATCTCTGCATTCTACCACAGCTGTATTATTGTTATTTAATTGCTCCATATTAGGTCGCGTCGTCTAGTTTGGTCTCACCTGTAAGGCTAAGCTGAAGAAGACCCTGTGTAAGCCATTTCCTCCTATGAGCACTCAAAGTGACCGATATAACTGTACGAAGAGCGGTAACCGGACTAGCAGATAATGAATGAATTCGTGTGTTAAAAATTTTTGGAATGCAAACAATTGCTACTGATATTTTGAGAACATCAAGACCATTGAAGTGGACTTCATCTGCGTCTTCCGTGGCCATTTATTCAATAGTTTAGCGAAACCCGTTGCGTAATTTTAAAGGATTGTTTTCTGGACTACTGGAAACAGCGATACTGTTCCGTACCTGAATCATACCTGTTAGGATAGCCAAACAGCTTTTTGCACTATCCTGCCGTCTAATCCTTTCTCACTCAAAAATGTTGGAAAGTAAAAGTTGAGACCGAACTTTGTTTCAAATCTCAGCAGTTTGTGTATTTTGCGCCATTCGCTCTGCGTTCTTTTGTAAAGGTTTCTTCTATTCCTTTCTGGTCTATGCTTTTGGGGGGAAGAATTCAGAGGATCTCAAAGTCGGTCGGTCTCTTTGAGCAGCGTTTGCAGTTTGCCATATCCTAGATAATGGTTGCGAGAGACGAACGCAACCGTCCCAGCCTAGTAAGAAAGTATCGTTTTATTATTCTCTTATGGGTGGCCGTTCAGTCGCTGCGCTACTCTTCCAGCTGCCGCTTTGGCGAAGCGACAAGGGATTTTGGCATTTGTCTTGACGGCTTTATGGCTTCTTTTTTCTCACGTAGCACTCTGTTTCTCATTCCACATACTTGAAACATCCACGTCTGCCACGACATTATATGTACCTATATATATTCTTATTACCCGCAATCATTCGTGTGTTGGCTTTTATTTCGTGCGTTATTTTTAAGAGATGTTTTTTTTTT